CCCATAGTTGCTTATGGAAGTTGGGTGTAGGGAATGAAAAGAGGGAGGACAGAGCAATGGGAGGGCAACAAGAGAGTAGGGGACGGACAGGAGGAAAGAAATGAAAGAGAGGGGAGAAGATAAGGAAAGAAAGGAGAGTGGGTGTTCTGAAGTCAAATATGTAGTGAGGGAAATGATGGAGCAGGCATCAGGGAGCAAAGGTAGAGGAGGGGAGTGATGAGGTTGGAGGAACAGTTCAGCAGAGGCCTTGGATCCAATCAAAATACTGTTTTTGATTATGTTTTTCATTTCACCTAAAATAATGTTTCAATAGTCACTTCCTCATAGCCGAGCACTAACCTTGGTCTTTGAATGGGGACCTGTTTTGAGCAACACACTTCTCCGTGGCCTCGGAAGAACTGCTGAAGATCAGTGCAGCTGCAGTTTGGGCAGCCGAGCATTGTGGGATTAGCTAACCTTGGTTCGCTCTGGCAACCGCATGACGAATTATTCAGTCTTTTAAAGACTTTTAAAGTAGAAAACCTGATTGTTTAAGATTGCCTGAGATATTTTAACCCCAAAGGTGACTGAGCAGAACTGGGTCCGATAGCATGGATGGAAAAAAGTACAATTATTTATGAATTGACTGATATGATCTTTAAACTGGAAAAGCAATGGGTATTTGTATTGTTGTAGAGACAATACTTTTTATCCATTACTACAGTTGTGATGACCTGTCACATGACATTACGCATGTTATGCTGTGTGTGGGTGTGTACTTGTACAGATTTCTTTGTGAGAACCAGACCATCATTTTGAGCCTAGACGTTACAGAATGAGGACATGGTTTGGGTTAGAGTTAAGGCAATGATTAAGATCAGGCATTCAGTGGTGATGGTTAAGGTTAGCGTTAGTGGGGAATCAATTCTGCCAGTAACTGACGTCCCTAAGGTGCAAAATAACAGTTTACACAGTAATGTTATGGGAACTTGTCTCCCATGTGGGGACAAAAAGCAAACATTACATTTTTAGTGGAAGAGATGCTTTAAAGGTCCAGTGTGTAGATTTAGGTGAAAGGGTTCTACTGGCAGAAATTTAATATAGAATAATCCTCATGATGTTTCAGTAGTTTGTTTCATCTAAATTGTGTGAATTGTAGTTTTCTTTACCCCAGAAAACACCCTTTATATTTAAATACTTTATATTTACATTGAGGGGGTCCTCTCTACGGAGGCCGCCATGTGTTTTTACATTAGTGCAGACTGGACAAACTAAACACCTTTTGAGTTGTATAACAATTAAAGGCTACCACAGGTTCTTTTTCATGTTTGGGAGGAGAGGGTGAGGTGAGGGGTGTTCAGCTGCAACATGCAACTTCAACACTAGATATCACTAAATTCTACACACTGTACCTTTAAGGTTAGGTGGGGTTAGTTTTGGCTATGTTTAGTTTAAGGTTAGGGTAAGCGTTAGAGTTAGGGTGTGTGTCGTGTGTGTACAGTTAGTACCAGTACTGTAGTGTGGAGGGATGTTATTTTCTTTACATCACTTGTATCCTCATGAGATACATATTCAAACCCTGAAAATGCTCATAAAACTAATTTTATAGAAAAAATAACAACATACTTTGAGACCTCATTGTTGGTTTTGGAGAAGAATTTTTCTTCAAAGCTTAAAATAATGCTATGGGACACTGCTGGAAAAAGCCAGGTTCATAAATATATGATACATTACCACAACAAATTATAGAATTTTATCTTGGTACACACAAATTCTCAGAAGGAATAAAATATTGACTACGATCGATACAGAGGAGTTGTGAGTGAAAAAAGTTTACAAACTGCATAAGGTCTCAGTGGTAGTGGTGTTTATGAGAAGCGAGCGAGAAGCACTCTCCAAAAACAAACCGTACACACATACAGTACTGTACGGTCTCACTTCATCACAAGCACATACAGAAGTGTCTCATAAGCACAGGTCACATCAAATACACAAAGTGGAACAACAAGTAAATGTGTAAAATCCCTCAGAGAAAATACTCAACCATAAGTTAGTGTACACATTTTCTGTGAAGACACAAAAAAACATGCATAACTTTCTCTCACAAAAACAAACAATGTGAAGTGTCACAAAAACACAAACTCGTAAATACAAATGAAGTGTCTAACAAGTGCATAACAAAACCTGCATGTGTGGAGCCCTTCACTGGCTCATACATACATGTATAAAGGTTCTCACATGCACACATGTGCAGCGCTGCTGTCTGCCTCCCGCGTGTGTGGTGTTCGTGACGCATAGGAAAAGTCATTAGACCCGCACTTCCTCTCCTAACACAAGAGAAAGAAGAAAAGCATGTCTTACATGAAACACACAGGAAATGTGTGGGTGACTGTCTGTATATAATGTGCGTGTGTGTGAGCTTGTGTATTTGTCAGTGCATGTGTGCGCGTTTGTTTCCCAGTCTGAAGTTGTGCCCCTGGGGCTGGTGACCAAGATCTTGTAATTGCTTGCCTTTGATTGCTTTCATTGAGCAGACTACAGAAACAATTAAAGCTAATTAAAACACACAGCCAAGGCCTGACTTGCTCAGCAGACAAAGTTGAATACCATGTTCATGTGGGTTCAGCATTAGTCCAAAACCTCAGCCCCTAGTTCCAAGATTTTGACTTAGATGAATTGATTAAACTGGAGAGCATCCACTATGTTTATTTCACTAATCAAATACTTATTTTTGAAATAATCACTCTTATTATATAATCATCATTATAGATGGTTGACAGACATTATAACGTTCATTCAATGTGTCACAAATGTACAGTTAGTTGATATTAAGCATTCCTGATTCAAATCATATTCAAAAAAACCATAGCTGCATTTTTGGCTGATCATCCAAAATGTGCTTTTCAAATAGCAAGTGCAAACTTTAAACTAAGATGTTGTTTTTAACAATAGATTTAACAAGTTTCATTTCTCCCTGTGCATAAGTGTGAACAGTTAGAGCTTCTGCTTTTCAATGGTTATAATTGTGTAAGTAAGCAGCTGACATGTATCGGTGTGATACTGTGTGTGGGTGTGTTTCTCATCTATCACAGTACACACAAGGTTCGATTTTGCACATCGTGCTCACCAACACTTCCTTGCATTTCTGATTGTACAAGGGAACATGCATGTTTATCTGCACGGTACTTAGTAAACATCAACAGTCTGTGGTGTGTGTGTGTGTGTGCAGGCATGCCTGTGGTTTTGTAGCCTCTTTGGGACCTTTTTTTTAATAATTTCTGGTTCTGGTTCAGGTTAGTGATATGGTTTTGGTTAGGCTTTCCATAATGAGTGGAAGTCAATGGAAACATAGTGGCACAAAGGTGTGTTCACCTAATTGTCTCAAAGTCGGTTAGAAAGAATAAAGCGCTGCTCCAGTTGGAAAATGAGTGCGACGAGGAGAAAAGGAAGAATATAGCGGTGCGACTGGAGCTCGTTGTTACGTGAGACAACAAATAAAAAAAGAGAAGACACAGGGATCCAAAGGGTGAATTCTAGGGTTTGGACATCTGCTGAAACCTTGGGAAACTCAAATCACTTCATGGATGAAGGTGGAATTCTTTCCTGCCAGCACTAAATCATGGCAGCACACGGACACACACACACACACACACAATGCCATGAAGACAGCACAGACAGTTGAAGGGCAGCTTGTCTGACTTCCGTGGAGAATAGTACTCCTCCTCACATACAAGTGGATTAATTTCGACATTGCGTCTCATCCCTGCCTACCTCTGCCATGAACATCTGTCACCTCAGCAGGGTCCAAACTGCTAATAAACATGCAAACGCATGCTCGTGCACACACACACACACACACACACACACACACACACACACACACACACACACACACTCACTCACACGAGAACATCTTCTTCAAAACACATGGCTAAATTTGGTCTCTGCTCCATGTGTTACTGTTGCAGAAACGTATCCCTGTCAGTCTGCATACACATCTGCACCTGCATCCAACCAGCATTGCTAAGACTTGCACATTTGGTTTGTGTCATATAATAACATTTAAGTCCCATTGATCCTTAAGCAGTCAGAAGCTGAATTATGTTGAAAGAACGAAGGCCTGCAAGGTAAAACTTTCTTCTGTGATGAGAGCAAACAGTCTTTCAGTTGCTGGTTATTGGCAAATGAAAAGAGAGGAAAGTCTGTGCATGTAAGATTCACCTCTGAATATTCACATGCAGAGATGGAAATCCCCCCCTGACAGCAGACTCACTGAAACATGCAGGTGCTACAAACTGTAATCTAGCGTTTGAGCTTTAGGGTGAACACTGTACTGTTCAAAGGGAAGGGTGATGCATGTGTCTGTGTGTGTGTGTGTGTGTGTGTGTGTGTTTGTGTGTGTGTGTGTGTGTTTGTGTGTTTGCCTTTGATTCTTGCATATATTGCCATCTACTATTTGCTATATTGCAGTTTCTTTCTGTTCAACAACCTTAAATTCAACTTTTCTCGGTAAATATTTGTCAAAAAAATGTACATGTGATCTACAAACCTGTGAGATGTATTTTTAATCTTTGTAACATCCTCACACTGCACCAACACACTTTTGGTTTCTGTTGAAGGCAGTGACACACTTTTAAAGTTCATTTTTAAAGTGTTAACCAATGAGGCAGATAGATTGTGTGTTCTGGGCTTAAACCTTTAGAAATGTCAAAGACTTTCAACACTATAATGTTGCATGTGAAAAATCATTGAGCTCGTGAATGATTATTTGTCAAACATACTGAAAACGTTTGCTGGTTAGCCGCTTCAGGGTGCTCTCAAACTGTGCTCAGTATGTCATCCAGTTTAATTACACATTCAGATCATGAAATTAATGTCAACATTTTTCTTTTCTACCTGCAAACAATGTACACAAATGATGTGATAGAACCATTTTGAACTTTCAGACACTTGTATAATATGAGTGTCAGAAAACCGCACAGGGTCATATGTATAATAAAGGGTCTACAGAGGTTACTCACTGTCAACTTTGAACAGTTTCGTATCTTCCTGTTCAGTATATTTAGTAGCTCTTCACCTTTGCTCCTTATTTCCTATGGTGGAGTCTGATAAAAAAAGAAAAAGCAGAAAAAGATGCACTAATATTAAATTAAACCAGTATTTTTCATTATCAGCCACTTCTGTAAAACACGGCTAAATTACATGTATATTCCTAACTTTTGTATGTTTTAAGCATTGAATATTACCATCTAATTACATCATAAATACAGCAGCACCCAGTAGCTGTAATTTAACAGGTTATTAGTGTATACTGCCAGTAAAAAAAACACATTAGCTTAGTGCCTTACCTTGGCAATCCAATTCCCCTGAACATTCCCATCGCAGAGGTCTGGAGCCGGTGAGGATTCCTCCAGTGTTAATTAAACTGTCTGTCTTAGAGAGAATTAAGGTCGTGATCTCCCAGACCTCACTGCTCCCGCACTCCCTGAGAAGAAAGGAGAGAAGAAAAGAGACTTAATGAAGGAATAAAAGGATGCAAGGACTTAATGAACTGCCTAACGAGGCCTGTGGCCGTTTAATAAGGGCTTATTAAAGCTTAATTAGAGCAATAATCCGGCTTGTTTGGAGTCAGTCAGTGTTGACTTGTGGCTGATTGTGTTTTTATGGTAACTGGATAAACAAGGAAGCGTTTTCATGGTACAGGAAGGAAGACGGGTGACAGCATGTGTGTGCGCACATTTGTTTGTGTATGTTGCCAAAAAGAATGACAGGTGAGTCAAACAATAGCCATGATTGTCTGTGGATGTTCACCCAACTCACTGACTCACTGGATTTTCAGCATCTTAGATGCAGTCAGCTAAAGATTTGTCATGTAATACCTTCACATCCCTATGGAAGTGCTGCAGCTCAAAGCACCAGACATGCTCCTTCTAGAAACTGCACACACTCAGATATTCACTTACTGTTCGGGGATGAACTCATTGACTGAGTATTTACATAACTCTCTCATCTATAAGATCTGACTGTCGGATTGTTCTTCAGAATCAGATACACAGAACTCGCTTCATGGCAAATGAATCACGTGGTTTTGTATAATGATTCAGCTGGCAAACTCCTTCCCTCACTTGTTTACACACAATACCCAGTGTTTCCTCTATAGACATCGGCGTGACTCACGTGAGTCAGAAACCAGGCCGCATTGTGCTGGAGGGACACATCTAAAGAGAGTGTAAGGTATACACAGCACTCCAGGCTGCACATTTTTATTATTCAGACATGATGTCATCACCCCTCAGAGGGCTGAGTCAACCTCGTGCTTTATCCTGCTGGTGTGTGAATGCCAAGCTCCGCTCTCATTATTACAGTTTCTGATTCATTTTATATCGGTGATTCAGATTGTTAATGCCCACAGGCCTTTATATGGAGTTACCAAAGTCCTAACAATGAAAGGAGTTACTCAACCGCTTAACTACGATACTAAATCCTGAGCCACGTCGAGAGTTTATGGCATGTTGTTTGAAATTAATTTGATTTTTTGTGTGATGTTTGAGTTGTGTGTGCTTTATGCAAAAATACAAAGGATCTAAAAAGCAATTATTGTAATAATTGTATAATTGAGTTTTACTTTGAAATGGTGTATTGGAAAGAAAGCCAGTGACACCCCAAAGTTAGTAATTAGTTGTTAGTAGCATAAATAACATCATAAAAAAGTGCTGAAAAAGGGGAGGGAGCTGACTGGAACAGCACAGCCGCGAGTAATAAGCTGAGACTCCTCGTTAATCAAGCTTACAACCAAACCACTCTTTAAACCTAATATCTTTTTTTAATATTACTATATATTTCTTTCGAACATCCACCGACATTAAAGGAAATAAAATTAGCCAGCGAGACGATGTGATGTGACTTTGCATATCGAGACAGAAGCAGAGATCCTTCAGGAGACTGATGATTTTCTTCCACTCGGTGTCTAATGGTCATTAGAGGAAGCGCGGAAGAGAGTGAAATGAACAATTAGCCTGATACAGTGTGTGAGAGTGGGTGAAAATGACTTTGATACACTGATACACAAACGAGACAAACTCACACACTGATACTGACACGTTCGGTATGCTGATTTTTTTATATGTGATTTAAATGGCAGTTAGTTTTGTATTTTTTTAGAATAAATGAAAATCATTGGAAGGGCGATACATAACCTGCGTATACGTTTTTATATTGTAATAATACCATGACATTACTTTTCTTTCAATCACTCGCTCTCTTCTATCTCCTATCCTTCCATCTGACCATCCCTCCCTTAAATACTCCTCTCCACAATAGATCCAAACTGATGCACCCCCTACTGTTTATGTAAATGTCTTCTTTCTTTCACATACTGTCTTTTGTCTTGCAATAAAAAAAACAATAATAATACCAGGACATCATGACGTCATCATGATGTCACCATATGATGATGAATGATTGGCTAATCTATCGTGTCTCCAATCGTATTGGTTGCAATGCATTACTACACCATAGGATGTCATTTTCGGACTTCATGATGATGTCATCCCTATCACTTGACAATTCATTATTTTTCTTTTCATTTTGTAACCTCTTCATGATGTCACTTGTCAATAATGTAATATTATGGGGAACAATTTTCTGATCATTATAAATTTCAAATTATATCTATATACCTGTTATTGGGGAGATTTCTTGGATATTTTTCTTACCATATTTTGTTGACCTTGACCTTTAATCAATAAATAATCAATTTGAATAATCTGGTCAAACCCTCCCAAGTAGACATTCCCACCACAGTCATCTTGCCTGTGTGCAGGGTCATTAATTTAAGACTTCTAAACATACAGTCACTGTGGCAGCAATATGTGTGTGTACACAGTCCTCATACACACACACCACATGCTGACACATTAACTAATGCATATGGCTGGAGCTTGATGACATCACCTCGCTGTCAGCTCCGCATGAACACACACCCCATTGCTGTGCAGTAGTCATGTGTGTGTCAGTGCACGCAGGAGTGTGTCCATGGCATTTGTGGTATTTGGCATTTTTCCTGCAGTGCATCATCTACCACAAATACACACACACACACACACACACACACTTTCTCCTTAGGAAATCGCTGACAGTGAGCGAGCACACACACGTTTCTAGCGCTGCGGTCATCATTTGCCACCATGCTGTCACTTCAGGGTGCTTATTCACCAGAGCAGGGCTACACACAGATATTTAAGTCAGGTAGCAGTTACCCAGTCAGAACTGAATTCATTCTGCTGGTTTGGTTTTAGTTAAAATCAGCTGAATCATTCCCTCACACATTTACCACAGATGAACCCCTGCGTCTTACTTAACTTCTAATTTATTCAAAACCTTTCGGAGAGTGGGGGAGGCTTAAGACTCTCGATCCAAACATGTTGGGTTTTACGTTTTTAACCTTGAGTTCTCCAACATGACTTTTCAAATGCTTTCCACCTTCTTGTTCCGCCACTTTTATATCAGTTTCAAGTTTTCACTGTGCTGCCAATGTCTGGAAATTATGTCATTTAGCCTGAGAGGCAGACTGAAGTCACACTCAAGAGGGTTATTAAATGATTTTAGACATTACAGTGTAGATATAGACTTGGAACATTGCACAGAGGGAAGGTCTGAACCCTTACAGTTACAGTTCATGGACCGTGTCTCTGGCAAGTCATGCTGCTCTGCTGCTAAAACACTTCTGTCCCCCTCCATTTATTTCCAGAACGCCAAACAGCTGACGATTCCCACAGAAAGGCCAGTGAGTTCCATTGTTGTCATATACGCCCCCGCCCCCTCCTTCCACACATATGTCAATTTTATGTCAGAGGATTAGGGATGCCAATTATTGTTCTGCAGCATGGGAATGATGTCAACTTTCCTACGGGGCCCTTCTTCTGAGAGATGTAGACGACGCAGCTGACAATTCCGACAAAGATGCCAACACATCACATCATTTACAAAACTGCTTCCCTGCTCTCCGGCTCTGTCAGTCGAACGCTGGAGAGTTAGAGAGAGGAAGGTGGAGGGAAAAATGATGTCATGTTTCCAACAGAGAATTCATGCTGTTGCGCTGCTGAGCTCTAGGAGATGATGATGATGATCATGGTGCTGGTCAGTGCAGCGGTCACAGTGGTGATGACAGTGATGTACTAATCTTCCCTCAAGTCTTTTCACTTTTAGTTTAACATAGCAATGGTTTACCACTTCTCTTTTGTTTGAGCTGCGGAGGAAGAACTGATGTTGACATGACTGCAGCCTCCTCATTAATGTGCCTATTAATATTAATATCATTCATGTACTGTAAATTGAAGGGGAAATTAAGTTTGCTTTGAGTTATTACTTGATATCTCGCTCTTTCAGTGTTCACCAGAATATCCTACCCCACTATTAAGTTTCTAATCATTTTAAACGCACTGATATTATATAAAATTGTCATAGAATCTGAATGGGTGAAATAATTTGGAAGTTGATCACATAATAAGGTCTCAAATTGTAAACTGTGACAGTTTTTACTTTTTTTCTTCACATATTTTCCTCTGTGACTTTAAATATAGTAATGTTGTTATAACACAAGTTACCCGTAGGTATCAGATTACACATTATCGAACCATTTTAAGGACACTAAGCTACATTTTGTAATTTTTTGGCATCCTATAGCCATTTTACTCCATTACAGGGTTTCTGTGGGTATCAACAAGTTAAACAGGACTTTTTTTTTTACCCTATTTGATTCAATTTAAATCCTATATGTGGCAAAGATAATAAGGAATATCGTGGTACTGGGATTATTTACCCATAAAACCTCATTATCTTGCAGAGACAGATGATATGTTTGTGCTTGTAGTTTTATTGCAGTGTGCTGATATCTAATATCATTGAGAAAGAAGAACAAAAATATACATGCCACCAAAAAATAATTTCAAGTGTGATGAAATTATTTTAAATGAACGTCATAAAATCAAGACTTACTTTAACATATTTAAGAAGAAGTAATATTGTTCCTTTTTAATTACCCTGCATTAACTAAAGCTTCCCTCTTGTGACAAGTAGTTGCTATTATTCTGTTATCAGCATGGAGGCCATCCTCTAGTAAAGTCTAAACTGTGTAGACTCCACTTCTGGAGCAGCCCATTCTCTATTGCCTGACTCAGTGATGATGACACACTGCACTCGCTGTTTGTTTTCTCATCAAAAGCAATTACTTCAACATGCTCAAATTCCTAATGTGAGTCAATTACAGTATATCATCATCCCCTGCTCCGGAAAAAATGTGGCCATCATTATTTCCATTGTTGTCAATCTTTTAAAATGTTCGCTTATTCTAAAGATTCCTCTGCTATTTTCCAGTTCCACCCCTGTGTGCTCGTTCAAAACCATAAATTATGTCACTCTGCCACTGGGCTTCTTGCTCATTAGGCTTAAACTGATAACACATGCAGAAGAGTTCAAGT